TGAGGTTTCTTGGGGTATTTTATATGTTTATGTTGTTAGCCGCTTAAAGCCTGTGGGAATGGACAGCATACAAGCAATGTAAATAAGGAAGCAACATTCACCAAATCAAAATTTGATCAATTAATTCCCAATGACTCCAACGTATTTCTAGTTTGGTGTCCCCAACATCACTGAAAGTTGCACCAACCCTCCTGGAACTGATTGAAATAGTGGAATCAAATATTATCCATGATCCTCAGAAATATACAATGTCCTCAGGGCAAGTAAAAGAATTAAATGAGCAATCAAAATTTGATCAATTAATTCCCAATGACTCCAACGTATTTCTAGTTTGGTGTCCCCAACATCACTGAAAGTTGCACCAACCCTCCTGGAACTGATTGAAATAGTGGAATCAAATATTATCCATGATCCTCAGAAATATACAATGTCCTCAGGGCAAGTAAAAGAATTAAATGAGCAATCAAAATTTGATCAATTAATTCCCAATGACTCCAACGTATTTCTAGTTTGGTGTCCCCAACATCACTGAAAGTTGCACCAACCCTCCTGGAACTGATTGAAATAGTGGAATCAAATATTATCCATGATCCTCAGAAATATACAATGTCCTCAGGGCAAGTAAAAGAATTAAATGAGCCCCCTCAATTACATAAAGTTATTTCTGAGTTTTAAAAAAAATGAAATTCCCAGATCCAAAACAAAAAGCGAAATTAAATTATTGGTACTATTCTTACATCTGTTTGTACTGATCTCCGTGAAACTAGATTCCTTTTGGTCTGCTTGAATATTTCTGTTTCTTGTTGAAGGTTCACGATTGTTTCCATACCGTTCTTTCCACTCCTGTCCAAAAATACACAGAGTAAACTACACACACACACGCACTATTTAACACAGTGATTTTAACTATTATCAGCACATTCTTATTTCAATGATATCACTATGTCTGATATTCCAAAATATGTTCTATGAACTCAGTGGAAGAATGTAGCATTCACGGAAGGGTTCAACAACACAGTATCGATAAGTCTACTGCACCCAAGATGGTGACCATGCTCCATGTACCAATTAAATAAAAAATTTAAAATGGCTGAAATCTTGTAAGATCTCACATAAGAAAGCCAAATTGTGCAAGAGTTTGGTCTTTTCACATGAGATAGCTGAAATCTTGTGAGATTTAATGATGCTTCAATATCTGGAGCATTTGTGAAAAAGAAAGGCACCCGTGCTGTTGTTCAAAATAGTAGCACCTGGTGCCAAAAAGGATTAGATATAAAATACCTGGGAAATCTAGCCATTATAACCAAATGGAACAGAACTATTTGTTTCAAGTTCAGAATAAATGTTCTTGTTCCCTTGAACAAGCCTATGGCTTTAACTGAAGAAATTAAACATTATTATTTTTTAATATGCCACAAAAAAAAAGTCAGTGTTTTACACAAAATGTAATGTGCTACTTATTTTTGCCTGTTTAGGATTGGACTGCACCCTACAGAAATTTTCATATTCTCCAAAGTTAAAATTACTAAACTTCTACTGCTTAGAGAAAACGAACTAAACTGTCCCACATACCCTTCTTCTATTATCACCATCTTCCTGCCTCTGCCGTCTTCTCTTTTCTAGGGAGAAAAATGTTTTCATTTAAAGGTACAGTGGATTTAAAAAAAAAAATTAAGCATTTTCAATGAAGTCAGTTTTTTTAAATTAAGAATTACAAATTTTGGGGTCAGAAGAGATACGCGATTGCTTAGTACATCCCCTTTCTGTTGTAACTGCATCATGGTTGCAGGAGTCATGTGGTAGCTGCTTTTTGGAAGAATAGGTTGAAGTTCCCTGATCAAGAAAACACGTGAGGCACTATTGAGTAGTATGGCCAAGTAAGTGCAAATTGGACATGCTTAGGAAGTGAACAGATCCAAAGCACACACCTGCTAACCCTTTCCCAAATCTGTCTAATCTAATCTAAGAACTTTCTGTCTTTCTGCTCCTTTCCTTCCCTACACAGGCAATAATGCTGAACATCGAGCAGGGGGAATTAGGGTTAAATCCCTCTATTTTTGCTCAGGAAAAAATTTCCACATGAGAAACAAGTGACTACAGTGCCAAAACCAGGTCCAAAACTGGATCAAAATCGATAAAAACTCATGCTGCAAGCAGAACGAAATCTAAGGTTAAGCCACTGCTCACCTCTATTTTTCTAGTATAGATTTTGCACATCTATATTAGAAGAGTCATTTATGTTTTAAGTCAAAGATGCAGAAAAAAGAATTAGGAGTCTGCATTTCTTGATTGTGTAAGGGTGGAGAGATTATTTTTACATTAAAGCTACGCAGAAACTAGGGAATGTACCAAACAACACTGGATGCACGTAATGTATCCTCATGTAGCTGAGCATAAACAAACATTGGAGACAAATGTCAATATAGAGCAGCTTGGAAGGCGGATACAGAAATAGAATTTTCAGAAGAGTTGGACTCTCCTACCTATTTGCAAAACACAACAGGCCTGCTTCTTAGTTCTGGCACCAGCTATTGACAGTATAACTATCAAGGAAGCTGCATGCCATTAAAAACCATTAAGTGGTGCTGACAGAGCTGAAAAGACTCTATTCATCATGTCCTGCTCTGCAAGAGCACTCAGTTGATCTGTTTTTGGAGACAGAGTACAGTCCAGATATACATATGATATTCTCCAGGAAGATAATTCTTTAAAAAAATGTGAATGAAGGAGTAATGTTTAAAATTCCAAAGTTATGTATTCGAATGTATCACAAACAGCCCCTCTCTTTTACCTCTTCTGATTAACTCTTTTCCTTCATCTATTAAGTCCGAGGTCATCTCATTGTCTCCCATGAACTGCTGGAATCCCAGAAGATTCAAACACCGAGTTCCTAAACTGGAAAAAAATAATTGCCAAACAATAAAAACAAACAAAACAAAACGAAACAGAGACATTACTTGCAGCAACTGGAAGAGACCGGTGATCAAATAAATACTCGCAATATTACCAAAGTGGAAGGGGACAGATTTTCTGAAACTGAGGCCACCTTCTGATCTCCTCCAAGAATGCTGTGATTTGTCAATAATGAAACAATGTGCTAACTGTAGAATCGCCTGTGCTAGAGGACACTTTATGTAGCATTTTCAGGGACCTGGAATTTGTTTTATGTATCATCAGCCAGACGAACTTAGGAGGCTCTTTGTTTATTGGGTTTACAACTCTAAAATTTCTCTACCAAGAAAAGAGAGGAAAGACCTCAAGCTGATGTTAAAGTGAATTCAACATTTTCAACATTTCCTGAACCTGCTGAGAAAGGCCAATGTATCTATTAAGAGAGTTCACTTGAGAAAGGAAGAGCAATTTCAGAACACTCAATATCCCAACAACAACACAAATCTGAGAAAGCTGCTTCCTACCTGAAGTAAGTAGCAATACAGAGAATGACAACCAGCATGGGATAATAGATATAAAAACCATCGGCTATGAAGGACAACACTTTCATCGATCCCATAATCTGGAAGGCAAAAAGTAACAGTTAGCAAAGCCAAGTTTTCTTTTGTTCTTTTCATTCAAAATATTTTACATACTGATGGTAAGATAAAGTTATTACCCGTAATTTTTAGGCAATATATGTGCTGTGGACAGCTCATTATACTAGACAAAATTAGACTGTAATTTGATACTGATGAGAATGAATAGTTCATTTACTTTTTTAATAAATCTGTATCAACATAGTTAAGAATGGAAGAATAGTTTATGTCTGATATTCATCTTCAAATACTGTATATTAAAGAAGTTAAAACAATTGCACACATTCAAAATTGCAGCTATAAGTTAACACTTTGGTTTGTGCCGTTACCTGCCAATAGAAAATGGCATAGTATGCTTTAATCCTGACTGCTGTTTTAATACCCAGATGGAATGATAAGGTATACCTTTTATTTATTTTTCAAATTTATAGATGCCGCCCATCTCACTATACAAGAAGAGAATGTATAAGAAAGAAGATAATGGGCAACAGTGGAGAACCGCAGCTAAGTACTCTGAAGCAGGGTTCATCTGAGGCAGAGAAGGCTAGACTGCCCTTCAACAGCTGTATGCAAGCCCTGGGCTCAGATGAGATACGCTAAGGCAAAAGTATTCACATGCAGTGCTGGAAAACTGGCTGGACTCAACCATCTTCATTTCTGACCAGGAGCCTTGCAGGTTCTGCAATCAGGATAACATGGTCCCAACTCACAACCCACAGCATTTGGAAGGAGCCTTCAATTCCCCAATTTTCTTACTAAAATGTACACTAAATTTTGTTAAATGAGACCATCGATATCAGAATGGAATCAACACGTTCCATTATAAACTAAAAAGAGGGATTCCACAAATCTAAACCTTTTCTTTTAAAATTATAATTCAATTCCAAGAAAACAGGCTTAAACACATCAAAGAGAACATGAGGTTGCCTTAATTTCGGCCCTTGGATTTTTCTGGTTTTTGAAAAAAAGACTGCCAAAGCATTAATGGCCCATCTAATGCTGGCTCAAGCTCCACATAGAAACTGATTATGACCGATGTGCCCCATCATCATACATTGTCAAGGTCACAAACTCTACTTGCTAATAATTTATCCTCTATACATTTATCCTGTCCCTTAATAATCCTGCTTTCAACTGCTTTGGGGAAATCTCTTAGTATCGAATGTTTAAATATACTGTAGCCCCCCCCGCACAAAAATAATAAAAATACTGTTAACTTACAGATGTATATGCAGTTGGCTGTTCTGTAGTTCTCTGAGAAATTGCTGAATCCATATGAGTCAAGCCCAAAAAATTCAGACACAATGGAGGAGTCAAACGACAGAACAACCTGCATGAAAAGTAGCGACAGTTCCAAAGCAATTTCAAACCCCTCCGTTCATATTACTAAGAGTGTATGTGTTCATATAACCATATTTGTATGCATTGTACTTAGTTGATTCTTTTCATGCATAGGAGGTTAGTTAACATTTACACATTATTCTATTCTGCACATAACTGTAAACAGTGTTTGGACTGGATCTAGATATGTGCTAATGGAAGGAGATGAATCAAAGGAGACTTCCCCACTCTTTCTGTTCCCAGCAACCTCCAGAAAACCCTCTTCTGAGAGTTTGGAGTCTCTGTTGAATGGAATGAACTACGGCACAGGAAGAAGGGAGATACAGTACAGAAGATGCCTGGGCCAGTTTCTCAGTGCTTCTTCCTTAGTCTCCGAGGAATGAGATCCTTCTACTCAGCAGGGAGCAGCTTCTGGATTCTCCTTCTGCTGATAACATAATTATTATATTATATACAATAATGGATGATATAATATCTGATTAAAAAATTAAATCAAGAGCTATTGTGGATCTGGACTTTGACTAAGATCTAATTATATTTCACTGATTCCCTTCACATTGCTTTGAATTGGCTAAACAGCACATTATCTAAGTCACAAAATATTTACTTACATGCCACTGAAAAGCAAACTATATGCATCTGTCTGATGGTGTGAAGCTAAATAATAATAGTTGAATACACGGATCCTGAAGACCGTGGAATAAACGCAGATGCTGAGGAAAAAGACTGTAAAGAAGCAAGCCATCTGCAAAACAAGAAAGTACAGCTTTTATTTATGTTAAATGGAATAGATATCTTTGATATATACATTTTAACGCAGTATTCAGATCCCACTGAGCAAAACTTTGTGTTCGGATTTAAATCGGTTTACTCTTGCTAACTTTACTGGGCGTAAGTAACATGGCTATGCAGCATTTCAGATTTGAAGGCAAAATGTTTCTTCAGCACGTGTGAGGACTCATACATAGCACCTGCCTTTTCTCAAGATTATGCTGCTGCTGCCGCGTAAGGCACCCTGTGCAGCTGCAGGCAGGTGCTGTGTGAATGGCTATGTGAAGGCAGTGCATTGCCTTCTAATCTAAAACCTGCACAGCCCTAATAAATAAGCTTAAATCTAAGCAGTTTCCTCAAAGTCAATGAATGCAGAATTTAACCATACATTCATATACAAGTATTAGATGACAGGAATTGGCAAGCCATCACTTTAACTGACCTCTATGTAAAAATAGTTGTAATTCTTTTCCGCTAGTTGTATGAAGACTGCAAACAGCGACAGAACCGGCTTTGGGCTGAAAAACGTGCATTCTGACCACACAACAATGATGGAAAAGATGGCCAAGATAATGGCGAGAACCCTATGAAACCATGGTCGCAGAAGACACTCCCAATACCACTCTAAAACAAAACCAAACAAAATAAATGACAAAGGGGAGAAAATATGAAAATCATTTCAAAATTGCGTATTTTTTCTAGTAGCACCTCTTGACCTGAAGTACCTGTACCAAGGTAAGACAGGTGGCAAGAGGACACAGGATGAATTCTGATACATACAAAATTAAGCCTAAATGGAAAATGATGATGAGGAACAAAGTTTGAATGATTTATAATGCTAATGCCATAGATTTAGGATGGACTGGGTTGAATCCTTTTAATTATGTTTTAGAGGCTTTGTTTAAAACATGTATTCTATTGAGAGTATGACAAAACATACCAAGAGTTGGTGTATAGAGATATTGGATAATTTTGTTTTCAGATTCTTGAGATTGAAACGTATGAACAAATTGATGAGTGGCACTGGATTCATTTTTTGCCACATCTTCCAGATAAAAGGCTTGCTCTAAAAGAATTTGCCACTGGACCTGCGTACGACGATGCCTTTGAACGGAATAAATTACCTAACAAAACAAAAGCAATATTCTAGTTATTTATGGCAATAAGGTCAGAATAAGAGACGATTTGCTCAAAAATTCCAACAAGGGCTTCCTTAATAAACAGAATACACTTCCACTCCACTCCACGGTATGTATGTGTGTGTATTTATGCATGCATGTGCCAAAATAAAAACAGGAGTAATTTCTATGAAGAGCATGGCTCAGGTTACAAGTATCTTCCTGCATATACATAATATTAAACACATAGGAACTTGTCTTCCACCATCACTTTTCTTATTTCTTACTCCTTGATTAGCATAGCAATATTCTGCCTTCCTTGCAATTATGCATATTTTCATGCACTCAGCACCATCACACCTGCTTACAATACAGTTCATGTTTAAAAACCAGATTGGAAATAATTATATAGTAAATATTTTGTATCTGTGAATAACTAAGACAACTGAGTTCAGGTACCCAACTGTTCTAGCAAAATAAACAGAAAAAGTTTGGAAAGACAGCACAAATTAACTTAATTCCTTGGTAATGCTTATGCTCATATAATAAACACCTAGGAAAAAGAAATATATAGATTACATGCCAGGCTTGTACGCTGCAGACTCAGACATGCAATTCACATCCATGAGGAAGAGATGTTTTTTGTCAGATAACCAGCCCATTCCCCTGCTGGAAATATTGTGCACCTTTGGAAACTGGAGGCAGAATTCCAGGGAAGTTGTGGTCTGGAGCAGAAAAATAATAGGGTTGCCACCTCCCTGCAGTCTCCAAATAAAATTTTGGAATTTCCAAGAAGCAGAGGAAGACTCTTTCAGTAGAAGGAGAAGGAACAGGATTCAAGAAGAAGGAACAAGAGTCAGCCAAGATGAATCTCTTAATCTTGACTATAAGGGATCAGCTGGAGTCTCCCTAAAACCAAGGACACCCATGCGAGAGATGCTGCTGAAATAGAGGAATCAAGTCCAGGTCTGGGTTACAGTGGAAGGGCAGATACCTCTGGAACCTGAGATTAACATATCCACCCAGAGTACCTACAGCAGTTAGAGAGCACAGAAGTAGATCCTCTGAAAGGCAGAGAATCTATTGAGATGTTAGGAGTAAGCCTTAGGAGCAAATAGTAGAGTAAGAGACAGCAAGATGACAACTTAGCACTTGTCTAAAATCCCAAGCACTTGTTACTGGTTCCCAAGGCTGGGAAAGAAATCTGTATCTGTATACACTATAAGGATTAGGACAAGTCAGCATTTATCACATCTTAGTCTGTTTGAATGTAATGTGCTCCTGTTTGATTCCTGAAATATGCTTGCAACTTTCCAGAGACTGGCCAATGAGGTGCTAAGGAGTTGAAATGACTTTGTCATGACATGTTGGAATGGTGTGACTGTTTTTTTTCAACCAGAGCAGTGGCTAGACTACCTAGAAATATGTTCTGGACACCAGGGAGGCCAGACTTTCAATCAAGGCCAAAAATTGCCAAAGTGGCCTAAATCACGTATTCTACAGAACACTGTGTGAGTCCCAGGACTCTATCACCTTTGAATACCAATGTACAGATTTTCCAATGTACAGAATTTCAATGTACATCGTCCAATGTACAGATTTTCCAGGAATGGGCAGTCCCTACAAAGAAAAGACAGGTGCAGTTGTTGGAAGATGTCTGCATCTTGGTATAGCCAAATTACAACACCCCTGTTGGATCTAATCCAGAACAGATCCAGTGCAGTGGTATGGCCTGAGGAGTATCAGGCTGCATTTGAGCAGTCATCTGCTCTATGTTTCAAGCTCTAGACAAACTGTTTATTTTAACCACCACAAATGCCTCAGACACTGGGACAATGTTGTGGATGGAGACCAACCTCTTCATCTAGTAAGGGTGTTTTTTAGGAAGGAACTGAAAGACGGAATCACATTGGTCTGTGCTAGAGCACGTTAAACTATTCTATACATCCTTAAGAAACTTCTTCACATTTTTGGGGTAGTTGATTTGAACATAAACATGATTATGTAAAGTTGAAGTGATTGTAGGAAGCCCAACACAAAAAGTAGTTTGTTCACTGGAGTCTTGCCCTCTTGCACTATGACTTTAACTTATAATACATTCAAGGTAAAACAAACACAGTGGTATACACAATTATCCAGAGGTGTCTTTGAAGAGGTCTATCAACGAAGGGAACTTTTGGATTATTTGGATCCAGGAATATTGTTCTCTTGCCTGGGTGTTCTGCTTATACATCTACTACAACTTCACATGTATTGAACATATGCCATTTACATTATCTAACTACCTGCTTATGGAGCTTCACTAGGCTTTTCTCTGTTGGATAACTATTGGATCTTTCTTCAAAGTCTTCATAATCATCCATGTTTCTACCCATCCTCTCCTGATATTCTGAAGGACACTGAAATTAAAAGAAAATATATTGCAATATATCTCAAATCTCTGTAACAAAGCCTGTCAGTGAGCTCATTTGAAAAGATAACAGAAGCCTTAAAAACAGAACAAAAATTGTCTGCTCCTCTCTTATTATGCATAAGCTCCTCTTCCTTCTTTCTATCCAAAGTTTCTCTAGCTAAGAAGACAGCAGTGGGGTTATCTTCTTTCCTTGATCCATTAAAACTAGCAAAGGAATCTAAACAGTTCCTACTAGAAAGATAGAATTACATCACTTCACACAGATGGGGTTCTGATTAGTCATGCAGGAATATTTTTGTCTGAAAGTACTAGGCTTTTGTGTTGCTTGACTTTTTTTCTGTAAAAGTGGCTGATGGCAGCATGTTGGTGAAAATATTGAAATTTGTAAAAACTCTTTCTCCCACTCTTTTCCATGGCTATTTGTAGTAATTTTTCTCCTGATTGCTGTTGGTTTTGTGTGTGTGTGTGTGGGCGCGCGCGCCCAAAGAGCCTTCATTCCTATGTGGTTGAGTACAAGTACTAGTAATTGTGGATATGACTTGGCACAATGTACCACCGAGACAAAGTCAAGATGTGCTATTGTCTCTACTGAAAAAAGCAAGGGAACATATCCTTTTACCCAGACCTGAATTAGCCTTCTCATGCTACACTGATAATTTCATAACTCGGTGACAAGATTTAGTATTGCTTAGTTTAGCTACCTTCTTTAATATTGTATCCACACATTTCCTCAAAGGATGGTTGTATTTGATGCTTTCATTTACTTTGCGAACCTCCTGTTTATGTGAGAAAAAAAAAATCAGAAATATATTTTCTATGCAAAGGGAAATTAAGTCTCAAACATTTAATATGAAAATCAGTTACGTTTAAAATATTTTACAAAAGAGTTGGATTTCTACAAGCAGCAACAGTCTCACTGAGGGATTTATTTTGAAACCTGTTTTAGTAAAAGGGTGGAACCTAATCTGCAATGGAGTCTTCTTTTTACTATGCACCATTTATGTTCTTTGACTCTGGGGCCTGGAGGTTTTATGTCTAAAAATTACAGTTAAAATTATTAAAAGTAGCCTTAAATATGATACATTAAAATGAAAGACAACTATATTAGTATAATCATCTTACTGAGATCCACAATCATTTAGCAACTGTCTGAAACACAAGCTTATTAGACGTGTATTCCTTTTCCCTTCTTCTCCTTGTGAAAGCTTGTTTTTACTTTTTACCAAATTATAACTCCTCTTTATGTATGAATTCAAGTAATTATGGTTTATATTAACTCTAGTTAGTTAGGATACTGAACCATAAGGGAGCAGGAAATTCCCTTTACACAGAAGCACTAAGCAGCACTACAGTAGACATAATCCGATAGGCTTGATAACTTTCTTAGTGCCCTGGACGTTAAGAAATTTTATGTACCTTTGGCATTTTGTTTCTCAAAATATTTTATCTATAGTACTTCCTTGTGTATCCCTGCACTTAGCTGCAGAATTTACTTGCCTCCATAATATCCTCCAAGTTTTCTTCTGCATCTGCCTTTTCAGTCATCAGTTTAGCAGCCTTGAAATAAGTCTTCATGAGAAGATAGCCCTTTTTAGCTCCATTCCAGTGAGAGCGTGGAATTTCCACTAGACCATATCCTAACAGTAGGACAAGCAGAAAGAGGCCCCAGGTATTGGCAGCAGCTATTCCAATTGTCTGAAGCTGACTCCTAAAATAGAAAAAGTGGCCAGCAATGTCACATGCAGCAATTACTAAAGATTTTATACCACCATTTTATAAAATCCTGGAGAACATCTATATGGTCACACCAACTTGATGGCCCAAAATCAATCAATTAAATAAAATATTTTATCAGAAAAATACAGAAATTAAATCTTTTTTCTACCTTATTATTTTACTAATGATTCCTTTTCCAGAGTGTATTTTCATACATTGTGAACACTCTGTATTAAGTACAATAATTTGTTATATTTTACCTCCTTCTTTCTCCAAAAAGTTCATATGAATTTGATGATTTCTAGAAATATGTAAAACATTTTGAGTCTGAAATATTTTGAGTTTGAAATGGTTGTTTTGACTTTACCAGAAGTGTTCTAATGCTCTTATACCAAAACCAGAAGTATTATGAGTTGGAACCAACTTTTATAGCGGGAACAACTTTGGAAGACTCTTCGTAAGAGCAAATTGCTGTTTCAAACTTGAAATGGAATGCTTTGAAACATTTTATACACACTTAGTGTATAATCCAATCAGGAATGGCCCAGAACCCTGTAGTTTTTGCAGCTGAAGCATTGTATATCAAAACAAAGACACACCTATTTCTGCCAGCAAAAGCATTCCTTACTGAGTCAATCAAGGAACTGTTCTTGTTAGCCTACATTCTCAGTACAAATTTATTAAGCTACTCAGCAAATGTTCAAACTTAGTGCTGAATTTTTGGAACATCTACTCATGATCAATAATAATGGTTTTCCATAATTAGTGTGAAAGAAGCAACTTGTTCTACCAGTAAAAAAACACATTATTACCTTTCTTCAGTCTCTGTTAGAAATAGGCCCACTGAGGACAGAAGCAACTAGGACCAGCCTAGTAAAGAAACCCTTCCAACTGGGACAATTTCTAAACAAAGCTTTCCTTCTGGATGTTTAGATGGACAAAGTGTAGAACTTCTAACCCAATCCTACATGCTTAACCACTACGAGGCAAGCCCCGTATTGGATGAGTGAAGGCTGACTACTTTCATCCACAAGAAAAACCTACAGTAAGTAAATACTACCTGCAACTAGGTATGAAATTAAAAGCCCTCAAAATCAATTTCAACAACATAGCTATAAACTCTACAGTCCTCCAATCACTAAATAACAATCTAAATATTTAACATTTTAAAGTACTAAAGGCTTAGCAATCTTACCATTGCAGGCTGATGTTTGGATTTATAGCTACATATATCAAGAATGCTCCAAAAATCAAAAGGTACGTTCCATAATATATAGCATTTTCAATTAACGCTGTTTTAATCTTTCCAGTAATGGAAAAGCCTCCTGATCTAGCATAGGACTGCATAAAGGGTAACAGAATCCTAGGAAGGAAGAGCAAAATGAATGTTGCAAGAGTTTCATCTTATTCATTGGTCAGAAGTAAGTACTTGGCACTTATACACACATACACAGAGTTCTACATTTTAGAAAAAACTGGCAGCTATAGTAATTCTGAAACCACTTATTCTAAAGGCCAGAGAATAAATCACAAGGAAAGAAACTACTTCACAGAACTGATTTCAGAATTGCAACAGAATTGGCATTTGTTAAGGAAGCCTAGCGTTGGCAGCAGGTAGTAAGTTCACAGGGACCATCTGTGACGAAAAAGTACATCCAGGTGACTCACCAGTGAAGAGAGCAGCTACTTTACAGCAAAGCCAAGTCCCTCCCTCAGTTTAGCTTCTTTGATGGCTTAAGTAAGATTATTTCACTTGGCTAGACTGGAGGGAAGAACTGCCTTAAAACCTACATGACCTAATGTAAAGAAGTTTGGTACTTCCTGGGCAAGCCTGCCTTTCAATTAAAATGTCCTGAAGTTTTCACATTAATGATGAGTGTTCAAGGGGTAAGATATGCAAACATATAAACTGTTGTTCCTTGGAACACTTTAGTTTAGGCTGTTTCAGGCATTCCAGAAATTTCCGCAGTACTTACCATGTTAAAAACTGTGACGTCCAGTAAACTACACGCCAAAAAATGGGCATAATTCTATCAGGGATGTAACTCCATGGTTTGAAGCATTCGCGTTTACTATAAAGACAATCAAAGTTAACAGAGTAATATGTGCATGATACAAAAAACACAGCATTGGTTCTTGTTTTGGGAAGCAATGTTCTAGGAAAGGCTATATTGCACTGCAAAGTAATAATGAGCCTCTCACATAGCCCACAGAAGCCCCACAAACTGCAAGCACAATGAAAAAGGTGCTTGAGGGAAGATACCCTGAAAGACAGCTACATAAAGCATATACTGAACTCCTAGCATCATTATGTACAGTACAGGTAGTCCTTGTTTAGTGACCATTCGCAATTATGACAGTGATGAAAATAACTTTATGACCTCACATTTACGACTTTCACAGGACTGTAAAGGAAAGGAAAACTCAAGTAAGATCATAAGCACAGCTGCGGTTTCACTTAGCAACCACTTAGTTTAACAGCTGAGTTGCCGGTCCCAATTGTGGTCGCTAAGCGAGGACTACCTGTGCATACAAGTGTAAGAATAGGTTTTTGGCCCAATTTGATGTACAAATGTGTTGCCTTGTAATCTTATGAAGAAGTTCTGCAAGGTGTTATATAAGCAAAACTCAGTGCTGCATATTCCCTTATCTAAAAGGGGATGTCATTGAGTCAGGGGCAGTCTCTATTGCATGATATATCACATACACATATAATATTAGTATTATCCATATGCAGCTTTAATAGTTTAGTGGATTGGTTAGGTCACATACTGTGTTATGCCTTCAGTGGAAGACAGGCTGCATCCAGTAGTTCAAATAGGATAAAGGATATCCAAATCCAATCAAATAAGACCATTCAAAACGAAGTTTTAGTAGTATAGGAGTACATTCAGTGAAGCATTTAACTGAAAATAACAGCATTCCCTAATGCCTAGAGAAAGAACCTGAAATAGAACTAAACTATGGCACAAACTTAAAAACCCTTCAGTAGATAAAGGTTTGCTGCTTTAGATATTTAAAAATCTTGAGAACTCAAGACTGAAAGTCAGGAGATGTTACTAAAGAAATAACTGTAAGGAAAGGAATTAGTCAGCAATATGTATGGCTTCAGTTTTATTTATTTATTAGCAAATGCTATTATATAAATTCCTTGGTGTCTCAACTAACCAGTCTCACTTTTCATCCTCCTAAAGTAGCCCACAGGCATATCCATGCTTTGCTGAATACAAATGATGAAGCAGTTTTGTCCTTGATCTCTGTTGGCTTTAAAAGAGTTTTATGTTCTCTCCTTTCTTACTGCAACAAGGAGGAATTAATAATACATTTTGCCAGCGCCCAGATCCTAATCTTTCCTAAATGTCCAAAACAGCAAATCTAGCAGTTATCTAACATACTATTGAGCAGATTATAACCTTCAAATATTTAGGAGTGTTTTAAGCTCTTGGAAGTTGAAATGCTCACCTGGATTATATATCTCAAAATGCACAGAAATTAGCCTCAGCTATCCAAACTTACTATTTTGCTTGTGATGCAAATTTATACGTGCTGCAATTAAGTTATCTGCAGCTAAAGCCCAAGCACAGCTGCTGTACGGGGCTCAGCCAAGGCCAGATAACAATATGGCTATTCTAGAGCCTGAATCCAAACCAAAGTTCTGAGAAATACCTTCCAGATCAGCCACTCTGTTCCAAACAAGGTGCTGTCAGGCTGGGGTAGGCCAGGTCAAGAGACAGACAGGACAGGAATACCAGGAATATTCTTTATTGTAGTAAGATAGAATAACAGAAAACTGAAGGCCTGTCTGGGTTCCTCTCTGACCCATCTTATATTAACAAAATGAAGGTGGGCTCATTTTGAGCTTCTCAGGTTTCCTTCCTTTTCAGGACTGTGTAATCTCTTCTCCAAGTTCCCCCTTAACAGCTTGTTCCTTCTTCCTCCCCTTAATGGCTCTCTCACTCCCTTCCCAGGGTCAGATCTAAATTTCCTTTCTCCAGGGGGAAGTTAGTAAAGTTGAATCCAGCCTTTGGCTAAATATGTTTACTTATCAGCTGAAACCTTTCCATAACCCAGTTGGATTCAACTAGCTTAATTTGGCCCATAATTTTAATGCTTCTTGCAAAAAGCTACCCTGAGGATATTTAATGGCTTTTCTTGGGACGGCATTTTGCCACTTGCACCACTTCAAGCTAAATTAACCTTGAAGCAAAAGATTTTAAACCCAGAAGGTCGATTAGAATTTGCTGTTCACCCCTGGATGAATTTACAAACAATCAATTTTCAGCATCTTATCTATATCAAATCTCAATTCCTAAATTTAGAAGAGTTGTAACTCTGGCCTGTTTCAATGTCTTCCCACAGTAGTTTTGGAAGGGAAATACAGGAAAATTCCCTTTGCAGCACAGTGCTGTCCTTGTGACGTAAGTGCTATAGAAACTAATGACCATGATTCCCTTCACTGCCTGTTCTAAAGGAACACCTGTCTTCAGCTATCATCCCTTGGAGAAACTATGCAGAGGATGTCAAAAGCAGAAGCATGCTTTAAGCCCAGGAAACAGAGAAAGTGTTAGAAAGAGGAAGCTCAGATTGCCTCCACCCCAATTCACTGCAGTACAAGAGGGAGGGAAGGGAAAACACAGCCAGGCTTTCAAGATTCTGTTAGTGTAGCCTATAACCATAAAGTATTATTCCAGTCAAACGTATGGAGTCTGCTTCCTAAACTGGCCTATCTCAAAGGCCTGATACACCAGCACAAGAACATTCAAATAACCTTTTAACCTCTCTTTTATAACCAACAATAGTAACAACTACAGGTAGTCCTCAAGTTACAACCATTCATTCAGTGACCATTCAAAGTTATGGTGGCACTGAAGAAATGGTACTTATACCCGGTTCCTGAAGTTATGGCTGTTGCAGCGCCCCTGTGGTATGTGATCAAATTCAGGTGTTTGGGAGCCTGCCTGCACTTACGACCGCAGGGGCGCTTCAACTCCCCCCACCTGCCTATCTACCACCATCTCTGGCCTTTTTGCCCCCTGAACTCCGCTGAGACCCCTGCTGCCCTGCACTCCGCTGCCCCCTGCTGACCTTTGCCGTCTTCTAGCTCCTCGCGAGATCTGGGGAAGGCGGCTTCATGTGGCCAGCAGCTGCCTCATGAAGGGCCAGGCCAGGCATGCCTCCTCAGAAGCAGGAGCAAGAAGACTGAGAAGGTCAGCTGGGGTAGTTGACCACAGGGTGGTGGGGGCCTTGGAGTGCAGGGCAGCTGTGGCTTCATGCCATGCTGCTGGGCTGGGGCAGCTGGGGCTTCCCTGGGTGGCTGCAGCTTTGTGCTGTGGCTCAGGGGCTTCTTGTAGCCCTAGAGCCACGATGCACCAAGAAGCCCCAAGCTGCAGCATTGCAAGCAGCCCCAGAGCCGCGTGGTTCTGGGGCTGCTTGCTGCCCCACAAGGCAAGGTGCAGGGCAGCCAAAAGAGCAGAGATGGGAGGGGATAGGTGATGGTGGGTGTTGAAAGGTAGGCAGTCCCTCACCTTGGAAGAACTGAGACTCGGGGCTGGGAGGGACTAAGCCAGGAATGGCTTGGATTGGGGTGGGTCCTTGGCTAACGACTGGTGGGATTTTATTAATGATGGCAATGTGGAGTGCTGGGATTTCCATCGCTAAGTGATGTGGTCATGTGATGTCGCACTTTATGACCACCTCCCTTAGCGATGGAAATTCCGGTCCCGGTTGCTGTCATAACTCGAGGACTACCAATATTGTAGAAAAAAAATATAATAAAATAGAGCTCATTAAACTATTCAACATCATAAGATCATACATGCAAATTAAATTGATTACTCAAAGTAAAAAAATGGCTCAGAATATGAACTCATCTGTAATTATTCCATCATCAGACCCAACCTCAAATATTCACCATTCTAAAGACAAGTTACTGATTACAGTATAACTTTTGGATTATTCAGACTAGGCCCCACCACCACCACCAAAAAAAAGCTTTAACGTGAGTCATGAAAAGCGTCATCAACAAAGGCTTGAGCAAGCATTATAAACTGATAAATTGAATTTTGTGCCCTTTGGCTTAGAAGAATATGATGATTGCTTCCCTTCATACTCCCATCCATATGATTAATTTTGAGTAAGACCACTGATCTATGCCAGAACTATAAAATGTTCTATTCTAGAGAACTATCAAGAAAAAACCTAGGCATTTATAACTGAAAGATGTAATAAAGTATACAGTGGTACCTTGGGTTATGAACGCCTCTGCTTATGAACTTTTCGGGTTGCGACCAGCTCTGGCTGCAAAAATTTACCTCGGTTTGCGAACTCTGCCTCGGGGTACAAACTGGATCCGCGGCCATTTTCCGCCCGTGCCACATGGTCTGCGGCCATTTTCCGCCTGTGCCACATGGTCCGCGGCCATTTTTCGCCTGTGCCACATGGTCCGCGGCCATTTTT